ATAAAAAGTATCCCAATGGGGACACGCGATCTCAATGGAGTTGGGATAAAAACGGAAACGGGATCAATTCAGGATATTTTTATCTCATTTGGAAACGATCGGAATCCCCCGCGTAAAAGTAATCCCACCGAGAAAAAAGATCCCAACGACAAATGGAGCCCATCGGGATCAGGATTTAATCGGGTTCGGGATACCAACGGATATTTTGGGACACCTTTAAAGTGGAATGGGATCCCAAAAGTGATAGAGATCTATGCAGATAAGTGGATCCCTTTGGGGTTGTATTTTCTTTACGAGTCTTTAAGACGACGAGAAAATTTAAATATTTCTTTTAGCGGTGTTTTTTTTTTTTTTTTTTTTTTTTTTTGTTTTTAGTTAAAAAACTTTTGAGTTTTTTTTTTTTTTTTTTTTGTTTTTTTTAAAATTTAATTTTTTTTTTTTGCGTTTTTTTTTTTTTTTTTTTTTTCTTTTTGGTGTTAGCTAAAAAGCTTTCGAGTTATTTTGTTGTTTTTTTTTGTTTTTTTTCAAAAGCCATCCCGTTTTTGAATGAAAAAAAAAGAAAAAGGCACAATTAGGAAATATAAACGGTGAGTGCATTTAGTCATTTATCCATAGTTCCTATTAATTATTGATTTAAGGTTTAAAACTAAAAGTCAATCAAGGTTTTAGATATTTTGTGAGAATGTAAACATTTCAAAAATGAATTGTTACTTACTATGATAGTACGTAAAATGAAGATTACGTGATATTAACTTTTTGCATCCCATTAAACAAACGGTACATATCTTGTTGTGATTCTATGCTACGTAGCGACTGATGATTCCACAGTTCCCTTTCCTTTTGTATATTTATAAAATTTCAAAGTACAACTTCAGTGAAAAGATACCAGCCATTTGACAAGCTAAAATTAAGTGTAAAAAACATAAAAGTAAATTATGAAACACATTATTTAGCTATAAAATATCATTTGTTCATATCAATGTTCATTTTCAGCTTTCACTTTTTAAAATTTGAAAAAAAAATTCATTTATTTATTTTGTTGGAAAGATTATTTGTTCTTGATTAATCATGAAAGTAATAACATTGTTAAATGGTGAAACTTGACATTTTTGCATCGTCAACAGACTGATTCATTCATGGATTTGCTGTCTGTTTGGTGTTCCTTTTAAAAAATAAGATGAATAAATTTATTTTTAAAGCCAGGGGTCTTCTGTAACATTTTATACCCGTTGAGCATGCAACAACGCATCTTCCAAAAAGTGTTCGTTATTATTTTGTTTCATCGAAAATGTTGCCAAATTTTTTTTTAAATTCCAAACTTTCATCAGCTGGAAAGTCAACACTTAATTTTTGTGTGCTTCTGCGATAAAATTTCTGGTAACTTTACCTCAAGCATATCTACTCCATCATGAATAAAACGTTTGTGATATATTCTTGATTATATTCCGTGATGTTTAATGGATAACTGAAATTATCTTTTAACAATATAAACGATTTTTAAATTGACATTAATGAATATTTTTCCTGCTACGAAAGTTTTGGCATATGGCAAACAAATTGCTCGTGGATTTGACAACCAACTGAATATTTCCAAAATGACTTGCACTTAAATATGGAAATCATGACTAAATTGGAGTTTTAAGACACTTTTATTTGTGGGATGATGGCTTTATTGAAATCAGAAAAATGTGTTTGTTTTTTTAATAATGTAGGATTGCAAAAACGATTTTCCATGAACAGTATTTTGTTCAAAGTACACAATTTTTTTTCCCAACTGTTGTCAACCCAAATATTCATTTCTTAACATACATTAGTAAGCTTATAATACAAACTATACAACAAATAAACTGGCTCACTAAATAATATTCTTTCATTTTAATCTTTAAAAATGATTTGAAGTCAGCGTTTATCTTTTCCAAATTTTACCATTTCTTTCGCATAAACTCAGGATTATTTCTGTTCACTCTTCTTAAACTCTACATGATTAAGGAGCGCCATTAAAGCCTGATGAAGGCTGAATGGTTTGATCTGAGGGCTGTTTTCTCCAGAGAAAAGATTGTTCGCATATGATATTATATAATCCAAGTCGGAAACAAATATTGTATATACTTGCCTATATACCCGGCGTGGCCAGGTATTACATTAGGACCCCATCCTGATGTGACCCCCATCCCATTTGGACCTTGATCTCATTCTGACACAGATCTAGGCGCAATCCCGTTTCCCGGTGAGATCCCGATCCCGGTTGATCCATTCAAGTTTAGGATCCCGATCCCGGTGGGATCTCGTTTTCTGTGTAGATCCTGAGCCAGATGGGATAACGATTATGATGTGATCCTGACCAAATTGGGATCCCGTTTAAAAAAAATAAATTCTTTAGTGATACTGAGATAACAGTAAACTCCGGGGTTGTATAGAAATAAATAGAATTAACTAACATTTTAATAATCCCTTAGATACCACTATATATCTCCTTGTAACAATTTAGATTTTCTGGAATATTCTAGATTGAATTTAATAACCTGTTCGAAACACGTGTAAAAACTACTGTTCTAATTATTTTTTTTTAAATACGAGAAAAATCTGCAACAAAAGCCATAATTATAATCATTTTTCTTTTAAGTTAATCAAGGAGTCCCGGGGGCCCATTCCATAACTGTACCGATTTAGTTATGAATGAGATAGATGGCCCTAAATATATCAGAAGGGTAAAAATAGAGTTAAAACTTAAAATTGGTCCCATTAAAATTTACTTAAAAATGCCATTGGTACAGCTTTCTAAAAGTATCGAACTTTCTGGAAAATATGGATAGTGTTAAATTTAAATCCATCGATATTTCAATACAGAAAATGTATGGTATTGCTACAACGCTAAGCCTATATCCATCATATACATAGAAACTATAGTGTTGTCTAGGCCTATTGATTTTTATAAGGCTTGTATAAGAAAAAATTAAATGGGGCCCCGGCCTCCTATGAATGGATATTATGACCTCAACACCCATCGGTATATACAGATGGATAATAAAATTTATATAAACTATGTTTGGTCAAGATCCATCCGTTCATTTAGGGGTATTTGTTGTTAATTTTATTTATAAAGAGCATTAAAGGAAAAAAACGAATTTGGGGCAACCGACCCCTAACGGAATGTTATAACAAGTTAATAAAACTCTAATAGTTTCTTCTGGATAATGATAAATGTGTGTGCCAAATTTGATCAAGATCCATTAATCCTTGTAGACGCATTTGTGGAACAAACAGACTTACTAATCCACACACTTTTACTTTTATATATATACTAGCCTATATTATAGCCGGCGTTGCCCGGGATTGCATTAGGACCCCATCCTGGTGTGACGCCCGATTCCATTAGGATCTCGAACACATTCTGACACCGATGTCGTTGCGGTATCGCTCCCGGTGTGATCCCCATCCCGGTCAATCCACTGAAGGTTAGGATTCCGATCCCGGTGAGATCCCGTTTTCTTTTGGAATCCTGCTCCTGTTTGGGATAAAGATTATGACGGGATACCAACCCCTTGGGATCCCATAGCAAAAAAAAAATTAGTGGTACTGAGAGAACAGTAAACTCCGGGTCGATATAGAAATGAATAGAACTAACTAGCATTGCAATAATCGTTTAGATCCAACTATATATCCCCTTTGTGACAATTTAGAACTTTCTGGAATGTTTCTAGATTAAATTTAATAACCTGCTCGAAACATGTGTAAAAGCTACTTTTCTAATTATATTTCGAATACGATAAAAAAACTTCAACAAATGCCAATATTATAATCCTTTTTCTTTTAAGTTAATTGAGGGGCCCCAGGGGGCTCATTCCGAAACTGTACATATTTAGTTATGCCTTAGACAGGGGCCCAACAAATATCAGACGGATAAATAATAGAGTTAAAATTTAAAATGTGTCCATTAACAATTATTTTTCATTTGACACCTCATTTTATCTTACAAACCTAATAATAATATTTTAACTATTTTTTTTAATCCTAACCTCTCACTTCTGGTACCCGGGTACGAATAGTCGCAGCCGATATATACAGTGATATAAAATCTTAATGAAAAGTGTAAAAAGTGTATTTTCTAAGTAATTATTCTTTGAATACGAACCATTTTACAAATAAATGCATTACTAAAACTTTATTACATTTAAGTTGACTGAGGGGCTGCATGGGCCCATTCCATAGTTAAACCGAGTTAAATTTTCCTTGAGATTGGGCCCTATAACTATCACTTTTCCAGTTAAAGTCAATTTAAAAATGCCATAGATTTAGCTTTTTTTTATTATTATAGAACTTTCTAGAAAATTCTAGATAGGATGTGCATTGATTGGATTTTTTTAGATGTAAATCCATTGATATTTGAATACGGACAATGAAGGGTATGTCAAGCAAGCAAGGCATATATCCTTGAATTTACATAGAACCTAAAGTGTTGACTAAGCCTATTGATATGTATAATGCTTATATAAGGAAACATGAAATTGGGCCATCGGCCTCAGAGGGATGGACAAAATGAGTTTAGTATCCTTCGGTATTTGAATATGGGTAATATAGTGTATGTGTACTAAGTTTAGTGAAGATTTATCTATTCGTGTAGGTCTATTAAGCCTATTTATATTTATATTGCTAATATTAGAAAAATTAAATGAGGCCTCGGCCCCAGAGGAATGGATATTGTGAGTCAGTACCCTTCGGTATTTTAACATGGATAATCAAGTGCATGTGTACTAAGCGTGGTCAAGATCCATCCATTCATTTAAGAGTATTTTTAGTTTGAATTTATATAGCTCATATAGCAAAAAAAACACGACATTTTGGGCCCCCGAGCCCAAACTGAATGTGATAAATAGTTAATAACGCCCTTAATAGTAAATTCAGGATAATCATGTATATATGAGCCAAGTTTGGTCAATATCCATTAATCCATGTAAAAAGGTAATTGGGAATAAATCCAGTCACAAACAAACAAACAAACGTTCACATTTATATATATGTATATTATATATTTACATATATATGTGTATATATACATGTCTACACTTCCTTTTTTGCATAGTTCAGAATTACCGTTTAACATCATATTAACTTTAATTAATTCCACTTTGAAAACATAAAATATTTAGAAAGAATTTTTAAATGAAAATGAATATGTACTCAATTTTTAAAAATTATGTTTTTACATGAAGAATGGCAACTACACGATGGACATAAATGCGCTATTGCTTTATACTTTATTTAAAATTAAAAAAAAAATAATAAATTGTTTTCAAAACAAAAGTTTAATCAAGAATTTCTTTTCGTACTCTCAGAAAAGCAATGTTCAAAGAAGCAACATTTATATTTAATATATATTACATTAATCCTGTAACTGTCAAGCATATTTTTCAGTAGTGTCATATGCCTGCTAAAATAGCAAAATAACATACAAAAGAAATTCAGAGACCCTTGTAAATTAAATTTTCTGAAAGTCCATGAAAAAAACATTCTTATGGTAAAGCAAGATTATTTAAAATTATTATGTTTATTGATAATTACTTTCGCCTTTACAGAGTGATTAAAATTTTACGGCTCAACTTATGAATTTAACAAAACAAAATAATTCATTAAATTATTCAAACTATAATGAAAGCCACTTTTTTCAGATACTAGATACATAGCAATAGTATTTCAGAACACGTCGTTATAGGAAAACAGTATTAAAAAATATAATTGAAGAATTGGTGAAATGTATTTATTTATTATAAAAAGTGTATCTTATTTTAAATAGAATTGTGAAGGCATGAAATGATTTTAAACATTACTTCTATATTAAATTTATTTAATCCATTTGAAATAATTAAAACTCCCAGTATCTTACACGAGAATAAATGTCTCTTTTGGTAAGACTTTGTGTTGCAATCTTTGGCTTTCCTATTCGATTTCTACCTTTTCCAAATGAATTCACATGCAACTATACCAGTAAGCAAAGGGATAAGACTGTCAATATCTGACTCATATATCTTCATCAATGCTATAAAAACTACTTTCAATGGCATTTTAGCACGGTGAAAATTTATACAATCATTAATTTTATTTTAATTGACTTGATATAAAAATTGGTTTTGCAAAATGGATTGGGCGCTCTCCAACAAAAGACATTTTTTGGGGTAAAAAATAGTAAATTTAATATCCCATTAATCACAAAAATCCCTGATAAAACACTTAAACATTCACATTTTTAATGACGATGTTACTCGCCACACAATATATGGGACATGACACAACAGAAACTGTATACAGATTTCTACTTTTCCGCCATGGCAACAAAAGGGTTAATAAAAACAATTAAAAAATTTCAGAATGAGAATGAAGCTTTATACATTGAACTTAAATCATCGGCATCATCTTTTGTCAGTAAACACAAAAAATATTTATGATGCTAAAATTTAAGATTTAAAGTCTTTTTTCTTGCATAACTTTGCTTTTTAAACGTTTACATTTTCAAATTTCAATATTATTGCATCTCTAATTTTTGTGAGAATGGTGGTTATATCTGAAAGATCGTACTCTTTTGACATCTTTAAAGTCTCCTGCAAAATATTTTTTTTATGAGACTCATCATCAACATCTTTAATCAGTAGTTCCATAATTTCCTGATACCTTTTTTGTAACACTTTTGTGTAGTAATCGCTAAAATTTTGTTTAGAATCAACAACAAATCCAAATTGTTCAGCTTCATCAAAATCATCGGAATGAATTACCTTTCTTTTTTTAGTTCTCTTTTGTAAACTACTCGAACCTTCGTTTTTAAAGTTATCTTCAAGCTTTGACAGGCTTTCAAAATTGGTTCTCTTATTTTGATGTTTTAACTTAATCCTTTGCGTAGAGTACATTGAACTCTTTTCTTTGTGTTGTTTTTGATGATGATCATTTGTTGAAAACCAATCACTAACAGGTGAAAAGCTATATTCATTGTCTGTATTGGAAAATGTAGACTGTAATTTTATATTGTCACCTACATTATTTTGTAGTTTTCCTTCTTTCTCATTTTCATCATCGTTAATAACCTGCAAAAATCAGACAATGTTAAATGTTAAAGCGATTTATTTTCTTTTAAAAAACAACTACATTGTAAATGTATGCATTGTATCGGATAATTTCATCTGTCACCTATCGAAAGTCAACTACCTTTTAACAAATTAAAAATGAAATGAAGTCATACGTTTAAACGGTCTTGACGATACCTCGATCGTCACAATATAATATATTTCAATGTCACCAAGCTTACTTTTTAAAAAAAATGATTAAGTAGACGCACACTATTTGGTTGCTTTTTATAACACCTTGAATATTAATGAACCTTTCATCCCTTTTTTTAGACGACCACGAATCATTAGGTTACAGATTGTGCAGTAAATGCTAAATCGGAAACGGATATCCAAACCAAGAGTAATGTTGAATATTGTTTCATTAGCCCTGAGGCCAAGTTTAGAAATATGGTGTGAAGTTGAACTTTTGTCCTTCCCATAAATTTAGCGTTTTGTACCATTTAAGTTCTTTCCGGCAGATGAGAAGTCTTATATTTTACTTTAAGGTTTTCCTATTATGAGTAAAAATGTACACGTACCTCTATGCATTTATCACTAATTTTACACTTTACAGCATTTGTTTCTATTCGCTTGAGATCTTTCTGCAACGGGCTTTGAAGTTGCTGAATGTGCTTGCCAGAGTTCCAGATTACTAGATCATCTGCTAACATCGCAGTTATCGTTATAAATTTTGACTGATTGATGTATGTTGTTCTTCAAACCTACTTTAAAGACATTGTCTTATTCTTACTGAAGATCGAACAATATCGCCACAGAATAATATATTTTCATTTTGGACCCGTTTCACTCTTTCTGCATGATGCTAGTCGTCTAGGTTGTATGGCTGATCATAAAATCTTAAGTCTCACTTTGCTGCCTGGGTGCGTACGCATCTCATAGCAGAACCTAACCGACCTTAGTCCTTTTCCTCGCTTGCACTTTCTGAGAGCCAATTGCAATTCGGCCATAAAAAATGCATTTTGATGTTAATTTATGTTATGATGTTTATAATTAAAGTGCGCTGTTATTGAGAGGAATTCGTGTTACAAAGTTTTAAATGGTGATTGTAGTTGGCATAACATGAAATAAAATGGAATTGGATAGTATCAGAGCAATGCTAAAGATATTAATTTCGCGATGATATTCAAAATTTCCTTGTTGGAACTAATGAAATAATGACATTTAAAAAAAAAAAAAAATTATGTTAATGAGTGTCGTCAATACAGCATTGGATTAGGGGAGATTAAGGGGTGAACTATTTAAGGCAGTGAGGTTGTTTTTCTTTGGGGATACTTGTCAATGGAATGTTTTGAAGAGGACAAAGCGAGATTACACGTCATTAGTAATGTATGAGTATAAAAGATAGCGCTGATAGTGAATTGTATAGAAATAATCAATAAGGGGCATCCCATTAAAAGTACACTTACCGGTTCTTCTGCCATTGGCTCTTCAGCTACACAACCGGATGATAAAAAAAAGAAGAACACTAATTTAAAACGACGAAAGAGTATATTAATAATATACATTTTCTATAAGACAAACGATGCAAATATTTATTATAATTATTATTACTAATACATTTTTTGGAATACATTTTCCAGAATTTTGAAGGACGTAATCAAAAGGCCTGGGATTTTTATTAGTAAAAGAAGATGGTTCCATTATCAATCAGCTTGAAAAATCAAGGATGCATAAACTGGATTTTACAGGACCTTTATAGGAGTAGCCAATGATTATTTATGAATGCCTCAGTAAAACCTAAGTTTGAATTGAGTTTCCTTCATTAAGATACGTTGCCATAAAAGTTTGACAAGTCACATTCAACCGAGGATTTATTGGTGCGTGTGCTTGTCTTGGGATTCAATTCCAACCCACAAATTGAAATATATCTATTACCACAGATCCACCTATCCACCTTTAAATTTCTAATGTCATAATTTTTTTTTTTGTTATCTGAGATTATTTTACTTAGCTGAAAATTGAATATGTTCGTTCTATTATTAAAAGTATTTTTTAAAAATAATTATAAAATAGTTGATTTTTTTGAAATTACATATGTAAAAATTTCTTCATGTCCCAGCAGGACTATCTGTAAATTATTGGTTAACAATATGGATGTTAGCATGAAAAGAAATTTGAAAGATATAAACTTCAGAGCCAGTCATTTGATTTATAAATAGACACTTAATTTTTGTCGCAGAATCAAAAGTAAAAGCTGAAAATTCGTTAACATCCTGAAGTTTAGACGATGTGGCTGACAAGGTAAAGGCCCGTTTAATATATGAGATTCAAAACCAACTGAAGAGTATTGTAAATACTAAAATATGCAACAATAAATATCAATTTATGAAAAAAAAAATATTTTTTTTTAAAGTAATAAAAACAATTTTGGTGGGAAAATGAAATAAAGTTTAAGCAATCCCATCATGAATTTGGGGTCGAAGATTTGTCTTGAATTAAATGATAAATCCTTATGCGCAGAGCAAAATAGTAAATATATCGAATCAGAGATAAATGAAAAATTATTTCCTAACATAATTTGTTTTCAGATATCATGAATGAATTGGGGGGGGGCATATTTTTAGTGTAAAATACAGTTTGAAAATAACATTTACGTTAAAATAAGCACACAAATCCAGAGACACTGGCACGCGCGAACTTGGTACCAATAATTCAGTTCGCCACTTCCCAGCCCCACGCTTCTTACAATTATTATTGACAAATACAAAACGTTACATCATCATGATATTATACCATAAAGGAGAAATATATAAAAAGGCAATGATGTTAAATTATAACTGGAATTATCGATTTTTAAAAATGTATAATTATTTATATTTTCCATTTATAAATGAATTCTAAAAAATTTAATTGAGATATTAAAACATAATTATTAAGGAAATAAAATACTTTCAACAATTACAAATTTTGTAGAATGTATACAATATTACCATATTTTGTGTTAGCCATTCCGAAAGTTACCGAAAAAAAAGATTAAGACCCTTTTAAAATAAAAACCTAGTTTCTTTGTCTTTAAAAGCCGTTTTACAAAATTGCGTTTACTTAAAAGCAGACAATATGGTCATCTTATGTCATCTTATTATAAAAGATATGAAGTGCTCGTACACAGCTCAATCTGACGTGTTGTTTTTTTTGTTTTATTTTTATAATTATGAAACAAATCGTCATCTTCATCGTTAGCTAATCAAACGTTTAGAAACCATTTTTAAAAGGAAAGTCTAAATATTTTTTTCCCTTGCAACGGAATATTTCGCACAAAATAGAAAGTATACATATATTATGTATATATATATATATATATGTCATCCTTCCGTCTTCGTGAGACGATGGAGTAGCTATATAGTTCTACACTTTGACGAGTGGCTCACTAGGCCAATCCTAGAATGGCAATCACGGCCGCATCTCTCACAGGAGAATATTGAATCCGGGTAAGATCTTGATTTCCCAAATGTTCTTTTTGATTCAAGGGCCTCGTTTTGAGTAAGCTTTACTGCTAATACTTATAGACTTGTAGCCGATTTGGGCATGAAACATGAAAAAATAGACTTATGAATGTTAAAGAAAACCAGGAAAAAATGTTAAAATAAAAAGATCCTTTGCTATCAACATGAACACATCTATGAATGCGGTGCAAAAATGCATACACAACTATATAACTAAGTATTTCCCCCAGTCCCTAATTTTCGACACAGTAACAATTACGCCCTTGATGTGGTTGTTTCTCTTATTCTGTTTTAAATGAAAATATATTTATGGAAATTCGCAATTCAAATTTCCACACATTAACAGAAGTTAATAGCATTTGTATATCAGTGATAAAAATGTTGACTTTATACGCAAAGCATTGGCATTCACCCGGTAATATTCTCAATTGAATTTTGTCGTTGTAGGCACAGGCTGAAAATCTGCAGAATCAGCATGAATATAGTTTTATCAAGATATTACATTGGACTTACAAAACATAGCTACGTTACTGGCGGCGGCGCATCGTAAATGCAAGGCATCAGCATAGGATTTGAATCATTTCTTCGTGTACTTTCCCAACTGCACGTGAGCAATATTCATGTCTCATCGTAAGGATTTAGACATTGATTTAGATGTTTGAAAACACATGCGTTTAATAACGGACATTTAAACATTCCTGAGAACAGGACACATATAGTTACGCAAAGCACAATTTACCAATCTAAAAACTAAATAAGGTGTTGAAATGTGATTCTGTAGTCTTTCTGCCTACAAGAATAAAGATAAGTTGCTTTCGCGGCACTTCCATTCCGAGTAAAGAACTACAGAACCCACATTTTTTAAAGGCGACTGATTTCATTTGATGCACTGGTTATTAAACTTGCTGAACTATGCAAGCAGCTTAAAAGAAAAAAAACAAATCTTACGACCTTCGAAGGAATATCAATTCGTAAACGTAAGGATAACAGCTTCGTGCCCAGAATATTGGTTACAATGTGCACTGGACTGAAGGGGTTACTCAAATGCTTGCTATTGACTGGAATATAAACATTTGTTCCATGATATAATACGTAGAATGTTTTGTTTTCAACCGGATGGTCGTTTCCCTCAAAGTGGTTTGATGCAATGGCGAATCTTTCAGCTATCAGCAATAGTCGACATTTCAGATTTTAATTTTAGTCAAGAAGAATTTCAAACTCTGTTTTAAAAAGATATATATCATTTCTAGAAAACTATAATTGCATTCTTCCGAACGCTAACGATTAAGTTTGTAATTTAAGTTGTATGCTTGCAGAAACATGGGTTGATTCAGATCGTCAAAATGATATTTGATGTTTTATGAACATTTTGGTGACTTTACCATTCATTTGTGACCGTGTGCTAAATTGTTTGCATCAAAACGCTTATTTTAAACATGGATCCAGCCCGATGAACACTAAAAACAATTTAAATGGATAAATATCCTGGACGTGTTACATATTATTGTTACGCTTATGAAGATAAACTTATATCGGAATGATGGATATAAGCTCAATATTTGTGATGTAGATCTAGTTGACCGGCTTATGTCGGACTAACTCTAGGAATTAGTCAAATGACTTGTAGCCACTGTTAGTGGGCATTTTGTCAGTTAGTTTCATTGCCGCAGTGAAGGGATAGATTATATATAGAAATATAGATTTGATTAACTATTAAGACATGTTTTAAAAAAATTAATTATGTTCCTTTATTAAATTTTATAAAAGTTAAATGTATGCAATTTTAGTCTTTGAGTATATGGGCTGAAAAATGTTAAACACAATTTATTGATGGTGTAAGATTGTGCACACAACTGTATGATTGTTTAACGTGTAACTGCAAAGCTTTGCGGGTAAATCGATCGATAGTTATTTCCACGGTAAAACTGATACACAATTTAAATATACGATCATGAAGAATTAAGATAATTTTGAATACCCAAACACAACTAATCAAAATAGTTCAACACGGATGAGATACATGTATGAAAACATCTTCAAAACCGCCCCCAACTCCACATGTTCTATATTAAAGTACTGAATATTCTATTTCTGTTAAACAATACCATTGACCCACACAAGAGATCATTGTGTTTCATGTCGCCCTTTACTAAAGAAAATAAAAATCAAATTACCTTTCCTAATGTGGAAGCAATGATGCTAATATGAATCAATTTGTTTGTCAGTAACTGCTACAGAGAGAATGTTCCTTTATAAAAAAAAATATGTATTGCCAAAAAAGTCTAAAGTTATTCATATTTATTTCTCATTCTCTGTAATCAAATTAATACCTTTAAAAAACAAAGATTTTAATGATCAGTTTTACATTTTGTTAACAGAAAGAAATACTTTTTGTGTGTTTTACTGCATATACTTCTTATTCTGTTTTCGTTATACATTAATTTTATTCTGAAACATAATATTTAATGGAAATTAACATTAAGTGTGCATTTCTGGCATGAGCGCCCGCAGGGGGGGGGGGGCAAGGGGGGCATTTGCACCCCCCCCCCCCCGGTGGGTTGGAAAAAATTTTTTTAGAAAAAAAAAAACAAAAAAATTATTAAAGAAAAAAAAAAAAAAAAGAAAAAGAACAAAAGGGGGGGGGGGGGAAGGGGGGGATTTGCCCCCCCCCCCCCCCGGATTGATTGGATAAAATTTTTTAGAGAAAAAAAAGACAAAACATGTATTAAAGTAAAGAGAAAATAAAGAGAAAGTAACTAAGCTGATGGCCTGTCCGTTCGTTCACCATACAAATACGCTACAGTAAATTAAAACTATAATTAAAACATTACTAAAAAAATTGTGCCCCCCCCCACCCGTGAAAGTTAATCGATTTTTGTCCCCCCCTAGAAAGTTTTCTGCGGGCGCCCATGATTTCTGGTAGTCATTTCAATCATAAGAACACATATATTGTATTACAATTTATATTTTTAGAAAAAAATGATAGAAGACGATATAAATACAATTATTTTATGAATAGTGTGGGTGCAATGAATCTTTGGGGCAGTTACAAGAGGCCTTAAAATTTAAATAGTCTAGAGCCACTAAATTCCTAAATCTTGAACTATGTTGGGAAAAAATGGTTACATGTAAAGTTCCTCATATCATTAATTAATAGACAGGCTTTAAAGTTGTCACCTAGTGACTTTTTTAGATTTTTGTAATAGTGCAATTATTTGTTTTGCTTTTTAGACATACAGGCAAATCAGTTCCCATCTGCTTTTTAGACTATATACTCTATAAATTATGTGGACTTTTCTCTAAATGTGTATGAAGTAATACGAATTTAGCTTTCGACTAAAAAATCAGTAGCGTGTGCTGATAAAATGTTCGAAGCTCACAGTAATCACAAATAGTTTAATAATCAGTGTCTCTTATGAACGTTTGAATGATTTATGATTGAGATTAGTTTTAAAAAGGGGATTTTGATAGTTATGACAAAAGTAATTCAAGCTGTTTTTTTGCTATTGAAAGAAAAGTTATTTTTCTTAAAATAAAATTGTAATTAAAAGATTTAAAAGACCATTGCAATACTACTAGCATTGTTTTTGGAAGCTTAATCATGTTTAAGTTGTCTGCATAGAAAAGAAAACGATGTGTATTTTGAAATAAATTAATACATAGAATAAATAAAAAAAATTTACTAATACAATCATATAATTTCAAGATTTTGAGTTTGAATAAATTTCAGTAGCCTATAAGTTATAATAAAATAGTCTTTCATATTTCCATAATTCGGGTATTTATTTCAAAAGTAATTAATTTGGGTATTGCGTAAAAAAATCGAATACAATTTGATGAATGATCCCTTGTTATTATCAAAGGGTAGCATTTTTGTTCGTTCTAATATACATTTGTGTGAGGCACACGCAGTGATGACACTTTTTTTTTAAAAATTAACTTTTAAGTCATTTTTTCTATTACTATAACATACCTGTGCACAATTTTGGTGATCTTGACTCTTGAATTGGAATAGGATGATTCTCCTCATCTGAATCAGTGCTTTTTAATTCAGTGTCATTGTCACTCACAGCCTTGAAAACATTATCATTTAAGTATATTTTAATTTTAAAGACACATTATTCAGTATATCATATTCAATTTCTTGAAAAGATCTAAATATAAGCGCTAGTATTAGATTAAATCACTGATTTATTTGTAATATAAATTAGTCTTATACGCAATTTCTTTACTAAAACTACGATTTTGTAATTTATACTATTTTCATTACTATATTTCTAGACGATTTGGCAGAAAACAAGTTCAAAATACAATTATCCGTGAAACAATATTAATTACTCACAAGCAAATTTAAATGTTCGCCATCACCTAAAACAAAATAAGAAGAAGTTAAGACATGTGTATTGATCCAAACTAAATTGACATGTGTTTTCATTATGCTTTACATAATCATTTTCAGAACACGGATGAATGTGAAAATAAAATTTAAAAAATGGAATAGTATATCTAAATTATTTATCAACATTAAAAAGTTCTTTTAATTGTGTTTTTGGGGCAAACATTTACACTCTTTTGTGTCTACAAAATATCTATAATCTAGTTTCAGTTTTAAGCATATTCACTTTGTATTGTTATAAACATGTATGTGTAATTGCCCTTCATTTAATGCTTTCTAAATTTTACCAAAAAAATTTCAACTAGCAAATGCAAATATTTTGCGATTGATTATATTGTAGTTTTAATGGTGCTACATACAATCAATTAACAAAAAAGATAAAATTTAAAAATAAAAAAAAATACTAATTGATATATTTAACAATGATAAGTATTAAACAGACTTACCTTGAGAAAAATAAAATCAATGTACTTAAAAAATAATAATTTGGTTTAGTCTTGCACGAACTGTAAAATACACCACGATTTTTTTTTTTAAAATAAGGGTATACTTTTTTAATGATATTTTTATAATTATATTGAGGTAGACACAAATCATTTTATGTAAAAGAAAATATGTGAAACACGGTATAGGGTCATCTGAAAAAAGGACTACTAAAACAATTACTGTGTCGGCAAAAGGCTTTTTTCAGCGAAAAAAATAGTTAAACAAACATACAAATGAAAATAAACACCTTGATTAAATGAGATAAGTTAAAATAAGATAAGATAAGATTCTTTTATTAATCCAAACAAATGGAATTTTTTTATGATTGTATTGTACATTTTCAGCACATAAATAAAACAATTTGATCACAAGACATGCATAATCAATTATTTCACTGATTTAAAAAAAACACACCATTCAGAGAGCTCTCTTAGCCATATCATGGACTTATTATTCCTCATTAAGATTTGTAACTTCAAGGAGCGCACGTTGGTAAGTTCGTACAGATTGGAGATCAAAAGTTTGTTTATATCTTTCAGTCCTCGCCCTAACGTAAAGAATTCGTCCGAACGGCCCGATCCTAAGTATTTGTGCTGAAGAGTTCGGGATGTATCATCCAAAATATGTTTAGTTTTTACAATAACATCTTTCTTCAAATAGTTCTTAAAGTGAAGGATGTCTAGTTTGCGTTGTGTTTCTAGCTTTCTTGATTAGTCGGTTTATGTGGTGTTTAATATCAGACGTTTGATTCCCACACCAGCAGGTAGTACTGAAATTAAGCATGCTTCCAATTGTTGCACTGTAGAATAAGTTAACGCCGTGTTTGTTTACGCCGAAATTGTACAGCTTTTTGAGGTAGAACAGTCTTTGGTTGAATTTCTTATACAGCATTAGGCCGTGCTAATGCCATGTTAGCTTATTATTAATGGTGAACCTAAGTACTTATATGCCTCTACTTTCCCCGCACTTTGATTTATTATGTTGAGATCTGTAATCTGGTGTTTCCACTCCTGAAATCAACAACCATTTTCTTTGTTTTTGAGACATTCAGCTGGAGAAAATTTTCATCGTACCAATTGATAAAAATTGTAACCAAGTTGCGGTATAACCATTCTCCTTCAGATATTAAGCCAACAATTGTGGTATAATCAGCAAATTTTAAGATTGGAACGGTGTTGCTTGAGCTTTGTATATTATGTGTATATATTGTATACATTACAGGTGAGAGAACGCAGCCTTGTGGTGCCACGATGCTTTTTTCTCTGGTTAGAGATAAATAGTTATTTACATGAACACATTGTGGTCGATTTGTTAAAAAAGTTCAGTATCGAAGCTTAAATATTTAAATTTAAACTTAACCAGGAAAGTTTCTTTATCATAATGTGTGGTTGGATAAGCTGAATGCTGATGATAAGTCTAAGAATAGCACTCTGACATATTTTTTTGGACTGTCTAGGTGATGGTAAAGTCTCTCCACCAATAGTAAGACAGCATCCTTCGTGCTTCTGGCAGGTTTGAAAGCAAATTTGTGGGAGGTCAAATTCTTTGCTATTTCATTTAAGCTAATTTGTGTCATAATAAGTTTCTCAAAACATTTCATTACAATAGAGGTAAGCGCAACAGTTCGTAAGTCGTTATCTTATTTTTCTTAGGAATTTATATTAATTTTTTCAAATTGGTGGTATTGTGTGAGTTACATCAGATGTATTATATATGTAACAAAAATGTAAGAGATTCGCTCTGAGCATATTTTAATAAGCCGACCACAAATTTTTTCTGATCTCGAGGCCTTGGCTGCGTCCACTCCACTTGTTTAAGTAATGATGTCACTTCATGTTCGGTGAACAATAAAGTACAATCCAGTGTTGTAAACACAAGCATTTACCCAGATATATCTTTTCCTTTGATAATTTATTTTAATTTTTAATGAATTCCTGATCGTTAATATTAAACATGGTCTTCTTTCAAAGTATGCCTTCTTTATTTCTACGCATATCTAGGGTTTGTTGTTGTTGAATACTCGGATTTTTTTTTTTTCTTTTTTTTTTTTTTTGGGGGGGGGGTTTTTTTTTTTTTTTTTTTTTTTTTTTTTTTTTTTTTTTTTTTTTTTTTTTTTTTTTTTTTTTTTTTTTTTTTTTTTGGGGGGGGGGATTATTTCCTCTTCACAGAACTTATTGTAGTTATTGACGGTGTTTGTTAGCTCGCCAATGTTCGGACAAGTGTTTATTAACCTGTCCAGGCCTGTACTTTCGAAACGGCCCTGAAGTTTTTCTGTCGCCTCATCTGACCACATTTCATTAGGGTTCGTTTGAGTTTTTGTTGTTTTTAAAACTGGCTTGTAGCATGGCATTAGGCAGACCATTGTTTGGTCGGATTCTCCTAGTGGAAGTAAACTATGAGATGTGTAGGCCTTTTTATGTTACCATAACACATGTCCAGAGTTCGTTCTTGTCACGTGAGGAAAGCGCGTACAGGATGTATGTTTGCATGGATTTATCAAGTGATAGCTGATTACAGTGCCCCATAACAAGACGAACGAAGTATGTGTTCATCTGTTTCGAAATCATGGATTACATCCAAAAGTCTCTCAGAAGCCTGCACCTTGTTAGCATTAGGTGGAATGTAAGTAAGGATGATACATATATGGGTAAACTCCCTAGGGGGCCATCCATAAAAGACGTCCACCAATTTATTGCTATTTTTTACTCCCCCATTCCCCTTTGTCCCCTTTTGTCCACTTTTGACTTGATCCCCCCCCCCCCAGTTGTGGATGTTCAAAACATAAAATTTACCGAACTTAAATTAACGAATATTTTGGGAAAATGTACAACATTGTAAAGAGTATGTATTTACAAAGATTTTTTTTTTTGAAATTCCAATTATTTGCAGGCAAAATTCTAAATGAAATAATAACTGTTCAAAAACATTTTATTGAATCACTGTATTAAAAAATGTAATAAACAAATAATCCACCACTCTTCAATCAACGGAAAATTAGGACTGCAGCCATTAAAACATGTTTCGTATAATGACAACATCTGTTCTTGAGTCTTCAATTGCTAATTCAATTTGAGTGGCAGTCTCTTCGTCTGATTCGTCTGCCACATTATGTTCACTAGCATGAATATTGCAATGGACGACCTTAAGTTTTTTCATTGCCGCCTGTGATGGGAAATATGTACAGCAGAAACATATTCTCTTGGAAATTCTTCCAGCCACCGATGGACAATAGGGATCAAAAGGCATGCTACTGCAACAGTAATCGGGGAGTAAATTTGCAGTAAATTTATGCAAAACTGCTGCACACATAAAAACACTACATTGTGGACATCCACTTTGTCTTAAACCCCCTCCCCCCCTTTGTCCACTTTAGTCCACTTTTTGCTGAACCCCCCCTCCCCCTTTTGTGTGACGTTTTTTATGGATGACCCCTAGGTAGGTAAAATGGCCTTAAAGTAATGCAGAGTAGTCCTATTTCGGGTGTACAAACAACATGTTTCACTATACTGTTGTTGATGCTACAGTAGTTTTTGTTAACATATATTGTCAATCCCCTCCCTTGGATTTGCCACTAAAAGTTGTTCTATCCGCTCGGAAAAAAGTTAAATTCATCTTTTGTTGACATTATGGCTGGTTGTTGTTTACAAAAATGACTTAAACTATGTTGTACTTATTTTATAGTATCAAAGAGGGAAACAAGAAAACATTTTTACCATCAATCGCCGGTGACTTAATTTTCTTCGCTTTCTACCCCTATAAAATTTATGAACTTAAAACTTACATACACACTAATGGTCTACTAGGTATATTGGGTGAAAGGAAAACGTGATAAAGACAATAAAAATTATTACCTGAACTGCCTTGTTGACAAGGAGATCGATTTTCTAAACACACAGATTGTTGATCGTTTTCTTTGTTCTGGCCAGTTTCATGTTTGATCTGTACCATTATAACATGATATATATATATATATATATATATATATGTATATATTTATTTATTTATTTATTTATTAACATGTATTTATATATAGATATAGTCAAACAAATTCAAATCGTATTTTACTTATAAGGATTTAATTTTATCAAAAACAAAAAAAATAATAAANCCCCTTTTTCCACTTTTGGATTGACCCCCTCCCCCCCCCCTCCCAAGTTGTGGACGTCCAAAACATAAAATATACCGAACTTAAATTAATGAATATTTAAAAAAAAATAATAAATAATCCACCATTCTTCAATCAACGGAAATTCGGACTGCAGCCATTCAAACATGTTTCGTATAATGAAAACATCTGTTCTTTAGTATTCAATTGCTAATTCAATTTGAGTGGCAGCCTCTTCGTCCGATTCGTCTGCCATATTATGTTCACTTGCAGGAATATTGAAATGGACGACCTTATGTTTTTTCATTGACGCCTGTGATGGGAAATATTTACCGCAGAAACATATTCTCTTGGAAATTCTCCCAGTCACCGATGGACAATAGAGATCAAAAGGCATGCTACTGTAACTGTGATCGGGCAGTAAATTTATGCAGAACTTCTGCACTCAAAAAAAGACTACAATGTGGACATCCACTTTGTCCTAAACCCCCTCCCCCCTTTGTCCACGTTGTCGACTTTTTGCTGAACCCCCCTTCCCCCTTTTGTGTAGACGTCATTTATGGATGACCCCTTAGTAATATTTTAACAATTTATATCATTAAAAACGTAACTTGATATTAAATATTAGAATTGAAATTTAAAGAGTTTTTGTTTTTTAAAATATAATGTAAATTAATTATACATTCATACTTATTAATATTAGTATATTATTTTTTAAATTCGTTTCCAAAATTTAACTAATTTTAACTACAATCATTGATGCCAACATATATTTAAAGTGTATCGTTTATTGTTAATGATCATACAAACGACTTATTGAAATGAGTACAAACATGCTGCCTTAAGGAAACGATTATAAAATTATAAACCATTTTTTTTTTACATGCAGTCGTTTCAATATTGTTTTCGTTATATTATCATACTAGAATAAATGACCCAATGTTATCGGGATAAAATTGGTGAGTACTTTGCAATAATTTCTACCTGCTATTGCAAAAACACAGCAAAAGTCATAACTTAAAAAAAAAATATATAATGATATTTAAGTTTCTAAAATCATTAAGTTTTTAGAAGTATTTATCTGCTATATATAATAGTGGCAAACTCTCGACACCACATGTTCGCCTTGAGAGTTACGGAAAGCACACTTTCGCATTTGTTGGTGAAACAATTTGGAACGCCCTTCCTTTCGATCTCAGAAACAACCAGACAGTGGAGTCCTTTAAAACCGATTTAAAGACACATCTATTTCGCAAACACCTTCTGGGATGATTGTCTACCTTATTTTCCAATTAATGCATATTGGATGTGTTGCTTAGGGTTTAAAAGGGTAGAGAGACTTTGACTTGGTATGCTTGTAATTAGTTTTTGTAGTGTTGCGTTTGTTTTAAATGTGGTAAATTATAGATTTTTTTGTGTGACTTTGTACATGAAGCGTGTTTTTTAAAGAAACTTAATTATTACTATTATTATAAGCCTACCCTACTTCTTTTCACACTAAACTACTTTTTTCCCCTCTAAAAATTTATTACTTTTTGTAGTACTTTTACCTTTATTCTTGTTTTTGTTTGAAATATACTATCAACATATATGCAATTCTTTTACCACGAATATTTTTAAAGAAAGATGATCATGTAATGACTTTACAAAAATAGGATAACTGGAGCTGAATGGCGAAAGAAATTACACTAAAGGCAACGAGACCAAACAATCAGTCAAATTCTGTATGCCTTTCTTTGATATGACTGGCTTATGTAAATGTACAATTTCTATGGAGAGTTCTATACCTGCTACCAGTTTGTTTTTATCTAAAGTTGGATTTAACACCAAGATGAAAAGGAAGAAAATTCAGACTTTGAAAAAGCTGAAGAGACTGTAAAATCCGGCAAAACTGAGTATCACAAGGCAGGTGTAGAGATTGCTAGTGAAAATATTTACATGACAATACGCGTAAAGGAAGACCGCAAAATTCGTGAAAATGTAAAATATGTTGACCAAAATTCACCTAAAAAATTGAATCTTAACACATTTCAAATTTTACTAATATGGTGCCATCCATTTGAAAGGTCCGGAGTTACAGCAGAAGAATCAATTAAAAAACAAGACATTGGATTTCTGAACTTTAACAAGCTTACTTGATAAGCATATCTATCATTAATAACATAAATTAAAAAGTTTTGTTTAAAGTATCTTCAAAACATTGACGAACTTTAACTACCAAAAACTACCTTTCATTGTACAAAATGGTTCTCAAAACAAAAAAAAATCGAGGCATGGTCATGGTATGGTAGTGACTCAGTCAAGGTTGGCTTATTCCCTTTCTAAAATATCGGGATTTTGCATCTATATGTTTATCCTCTTTAAATAAATAAAAGAGATTGAACTTTTGGAAATCTCCTGAAAGTTTAAATATTAATAACTTTAAAAGCTACCTGAAGTGTTTCAACAAGTCAAAATAAGTGTAGAGAAATTTTGTTGCAAAAGTGTTATTGATATGGAACTTCAATCCTATTTTTTTTTAAAAAAAGAAAGCAGTAGTGGCTTGATATATTGGCAAGTATCATCCGTAGAATACTATTTATTGCAACTCATAATCTAGCTTTGCGTTGACCAAGAAAATCACTGCAGCAAGACGATCATGTCTGCAATGTGGTAAATGTTAATAACTTATTTGTAACTAATAGCTATTTTGACACACTCTGAAATAATAAATGACATATATGAAAAACGCTGCTGTCGTAACTCTAGCCTGGTATGTAAAAGGAATGTATCCAACAGATGGCATCGTCTGTTCATCAAAATATACTGTGATGCATTCGTAGAGCGAGGGACTATGACATAATGTTTGTTTCGATTCATAAACAAACATACCATGAGCAGATGTCAGAGGCAGTGAGCTACGTGTGGAGATTGATTTAATGTCCTTCATTGGATTTATCCAGATAAGTCAGAAGGGTGCTAGGAGCTTAGATTTAATCTTCTTAAAACATCCAGAGAAAATAAAATGGAGCCAGAAGATTTTCGTTCACAAGCTATGGCAACACGTTGGATATGGCTTAACACAAACGGATTGACCAACAAAGAATACACAAGAAAAACAAACAGGCTGTGTGTGTCCATTGCGATAATCAGTTGTTCAATTCGGCAAGTTTGCATGCAGCAAAGCAGACACTTGCATTTCTTTTGTTCAACAAAGCCTTTGGAAACCTTTAAAAGCCATCACTCTAGTTTTCAAGACAGAGTCTTAAAAATGTTGAGTAAAAGGATAGATGTAGTTAGCACAATCAACAAGTACCTTGAAAAATTACTGCAAGTCCTCTAAGACATAATAGAGATACAAATGAGACCAGCGAAACATACATTTTGGTAATGTATGCTTACGTTTTGAGTTTTGATTTCCTAAAACGTATGTTATTTTCGTACAAAATTTTCATTACATTAAACCATTTTTAAAAAGGCTACAGAGTAATAACAGAAACTTGCTTAATTCTTTACTAAATCTGAATCCTCTTCGAAATCATTATAATACGAAACGAGAATCGTTGGTAAGTGGCACACTAAAGAAATGAATTAATTGCTGGCAAGAGTAGAATTGAGAAAGAAAAAAGATGTATACGAAATACACGAATGGTTTGGGAAACTCGTTAGTTTCTGAGTTAAATGAGAAAAGAGAAATCTTCAGTGTCATGAAGTTTATACTGGCCCTCTTTACTGAGAAATAGTTAAACAGTTCACTCGTTTGAATGAAATAGATCCAAATTTTGAGTTCATCCTCGATGATAAATATAAAGGCTCTGGTATCAATGGAAAGGTTATAAATGAGGCGATTTGGATTGCAGAATGTTGCTGCTAAATAGTACCAAAATGAATATAATATGATCTGAAGAACTTCTCAAGTTCATTTTTCATTCTTGTTTAGTAAGGCGATGAGTGTTTTTGTAATATTTGCAGTTCTATTAAGATATTGCAAACATTTGCAGTTTTGGATTGATAGGAGCAAAATATATTTTAGTAAAATAATGCATTTTTAAAAAGTATTTAAGAGACTCTGTGGAACAGGGCAGACAATGCTAGCTTGCTCTAAACTGCGTCAAAAAGAATAAACTTAGAAACCTGACATTTAGCACACCATAGACCAAGTTAGTAACAGTAAAAGCAAGAAGAAGTATTCGCAGTTTAAATTTGTTTCAACAATATGTCATGATATTCTTTTTATGTATGTCAACCTGCTAATTTAATTTGATTTATTTCTGTACGTATGCGAGGTATACAAATTTAATATTTAAGAGATAGATTTTTGTAAAAAATAATTTAAATATGTTATTAGTATATTTTAATTGAGATATTTAAAAAAAAAACTTATGCACGTATGTTTCATGTTTTATAATCGTGTGAGATTCCTTGGCCTTGGAATTTGAAATTAAAACCTATTACTCTTAAAAAAATCAATAATTATTCAAAACCGCTTTTACATTTTAAATTGCCCAATAAAACTCTTCAACATCTTATACCAAATAATGTTTTTTCTTTATTTTAAATTGTAATTGAAAAGCACTTAACCGACTTCTTACTAAACCACCATAATGTCATTAAGAGCAGCCCTTATTTCTATCAATGATTAATACATATTAAAAAAATTGCTCCTACCATGGTCGCAAAATCCCCTGTGTACGCCACTGTTCCCCGACAAGTCTCAAATTCATTTAATCCTTTATATTTATTAAAAGCACCCTTAAAAAAAAATTTAATACGTACCGAATTCGGGACATTTTTTAAATATTTTCTCTTCCTCCTTTTGATTGGAAAGAATATAAGATAAATGAATAAAATATAACGTATTTTATGAAATTTAAGGACATACTCTAAATGTAACATTTTACTTAAAACTAGGTGATTTACACAGTATGCCATTATTTAGGACATTTTTATTACAGATAAATGATGTATACTTACGATGTCAATCCAACTAAATGTTCTTGGTGTCATTTTGCGATTTTTGTGCTCATAACACCAGTAATACCAGTATTATTTTTTTTATTAAAAGAAATTTTTAAAAACACTTATTGAATTTCTTTTAAAAAGATAATTAATTGATTGCTTTGTAGGTTGAAATGGAAAATTGTGGATTTTAAAAACAAAATCGTCGTGTTAACTGATAATATGCGGTTTAAATTAGTAGTCGATCCACCGACAGCTACTTTCCCCTGGCGTTGGATTTGAATTTGCCTACTATATTACACTGTTAAATAGGGCTAGCGTAAAGACAGTTTTAAATAGTTCAAGTTTGACTTCAATTTCTATTCGTGGATGTCATAAAAGTGGGGCGATATTGCAGATAACTGCGTTTGCCATATTCATTCTTGTCTTCATCTCTCTACTTATTTTCTTTTCGCCAACAAAAATGTTTCTGCAAAATTTAACTCATGTCTTTGGCGTAGCAGTTGATCACTAATGTTTATGTTCCATTGTTATGAGGAGCGGACAAATGATGCAACCTTGGTGTTAGATAAACACATACTTATTCCATAAATTTCGCAATTAGTATGTTCAGAATATCACTATACTCTTTAAATAGTATTTCTTTTAGTGTCCCTATATTGACATTGACAATCTTAATTTTTTTTTTTTTGCATATAATAAATCACATGCTAGAGAGATCAAAGCCCAGTATGAAGTAAAATTTTACTTCAAAAAACTAATAGTGTCCAAATAGGCTTTTCGTATTATTTTAATCTTTTGTATTGCTCGCACTGACATTGTCGAGGAGCCATCCCTTAACTCAATCCGTTTCCAGAACTTGCACAAGATGAAGATGTCATTAACATTCACAAGTTTTCATTAAAATGTGCAGATAATTGGGGATTTCTACCGTTTAGTCTCTTCATTTTGTAAGTCTAACTGGGCATTGCATCAAAAATGCTCAATAATATCTCGATGCCGAATTTTAAGGAATTTTGCAAATATTTTATCAGATGACTCTGTATGTGCAATCTTTTTTGTTCCTTTTTTCCTTCCTTGTGGTCATTACTAAATTCTTTGAATGGCTTTTTGGACATTAACATTTTGAAGTAAAATGGTGAACAAATGGACACAATTTCTTCACATGCAGTAATGGCTTGTGAATCAACTACATCAGTATAACCAGCCCTGTTCCTTGGACAGGCCCTTATCGGATCTTAATCTTAATTTTCAAGAACATTGGGTTCTTTAAAAGCTGAATACTTTGGGTTAGAATCTTTTAAGTAAATTACTCTCATCAGGAATGGGTAACTCTTCGAAAGTAATCAAACCATTTCTTTTTTACTTTATTATTTAATGAATAACCATATAACTATTTTAATAATGCATACAATATACCCTTCCCTCCCACATTTACCCACCCACGGGGAGGAAAAATCTCAAAGATACATTTGTCAAATAAAAGAATGATAGAGGAAATTTGCCAATGGAATTACATAAAAGGAAAAAAGGAAAAAAATAAATAAATAAACTAAACTACTAAATCATTCAAATATAACAATCAAATGTAATTTTCAAAAATAAAATTTATAGTAAAACAAACTTTAACTACAGTATTTATCGGCGTATAACAAGCGCTTTTTCTCCCTGAAATTAGGGGCAAATGATGTGTGCGTATATTACGCCGATATATTGTTAAGGACCCATAGTACATACCGCAGAGCGGCGCGTATGATGAGTATTATACGGATGTGCGTTTTATACGCCGATGAATACGTATTTTATTTCTCCACATTTTTAGGCTACAAATATCATTAATTTTTAATCAAAGTAATGCAAACTTTATTTTTTAATAATACGTGACTATTTTCTAAATTAAACACACAAAAAATTATTTAATTAATACATAATGTGTACAATTTTTAAAGATACTTACCGGTAAAAAGAGAGCATTATTACAATTATCAATGTGAGTAAACAGATCGAAGCTAAAGCAATAACATATGGTAGAAGATCTGCAGGTTCCTCTTCCACTTTGTGGTCTAACTCTATAATAAAAGAATTGACTTTTGAAAACTTATAATTAAAATTAAAGTAATCACATTTGTCAGATATACTTTGTTTTATGTTTCTGTTAACGTGATGATTATAGCAATAGGTGTTATGAAGTTTATTATTTAAAACTTTTCAACGTTTCTTAACTTGCCTATCTGTATTTTCTGTTTCAACACATTGACATTGCCATCAAGTCTGCATGCTGCACTTTTAATTATTACTGTTAATGTTTGCGAAATGTTGTAAGGACTGTAGTAAATTGTCTTATCTCTTCCTAGCACTTTATACGTAGATTCATTAGTGGAGACTTCTGTTAAGCACGGTCCTGCGGGACTGTTACATGTGAAGTCAACAACAAGGTTATTCTCAGTTACAGGCACGACTAGATCGTGAGAGCCTTCTATAACTTTATTGTTTATCTTTAACGTCCATTTTGTGTTAGTTGAAGCTTGAAGGAAAAATTAAATAATTTTATACATTTAAAATCTTTTAGGTAAAAATAAATAGTTTGTACAGGATGATTAAATTTAAAGTGGACAACAAACCTAAAATTTATATTTGTATCAAGTAGATGAGATGCGATTTAAGAATTAGATCTGAACAGTATTGATTAACCTTTTTTTTATTTGCCTACTCTTGAAATTAAGATAATGTTAAAAAAAAAATAATTCTTTTAAAGGACACACTTTCAAATAATGCATGGATTATGTGCCGTTAAATGGTTGCGACGAAAATTCACTTTCTAAGATCGCTGTATCTTATCAAGCATTTTCAGAGTGGTTTTATTTCTTTTTTTTTTTCTTTTTTTTTTCTGTTTTTTTTTTTTTTTGATCTTATTTTCATTTTTTTGCATAAATAATTTTTGAAAATTAAATAACAGAACATGAATACAATTATGTTTATCGATTTTAGTTAAACATTTTATTTAAAAAATTTTTTTTGTTTTTTTTATTTGTTTTTTTTTTTTTTTTTTTTTCTTTTTTTTTTCTGTTTTTTTTTTTATTTGATCTTATTTTCATTTTTGTGCATAAATAATTTTTGAAAATTAAATAACAGAACATGAATACAATTATGTTTATCGATTTTAGTTAAACATTTTATTTAAAAAAGATCCTTAATTTTCTTTTAGCTGAGAGAATGTAAATGCACCATAACAGCACTGTGTAGGTTGGTTTATTGTTTTCATTATTACTTTATTTTTTCAATAGTAAAGAGTTAAAAGAAATGCCACATAATTATGGAGTAAAGATTTAACTTAAGCAATTGAAAGAAATTAGAATTTTCAAAGAAGATAAAGATTTTTTGTAAAATACTTATTTTTTACCATAAATGGCAGGAAAAGTCTGCTCTTTACTGCGAACTGGCTCATGATCAATTGATCGTACCACTGTTCCTTTTATCAAAGCTCCATTCAGACTAAAATTAGCCTTAAAATTTATGTTGATTACCAGAAAAGTATTGGAGATTTTGTAACATTGACACATTTTATGGTTATATATACCATTGCATTCCTTTATGATATTTATATTACATATCTGAAAATAAAAAAAAATTGTTTTATTAATTTTTTTTTTAAATTATGAACATAACTTATGAATTAAATTTTGTAAAAAAAAATGCATTCTTTCTTTTTATCATTTAAGAGGATTCTTTTTTGCCGTGGTTTAATTGATTTAATGACTTTTTTTTTATTGCTAAAATCAAATTCATTTGTCACTATTTTGCATGGAACAATCAATATTGTAAAATATAATATAAATAAGATAAATAACTAAAATTTTAAATTACTAATGTCATATATTATTATCATTTATTTGTACAATTTACAACTTGATTACACTAGCATTACCATTTATATATCAATACAGCTTTAGAATGCCAAACAACAAAATGTTTAACAGTGTCTTTTAAATATTTATCTTGTTTACAATTTTAAATATAAAACATAAAATGTTTTTATGGAAAACTCATGATATATAAATTCAAAGAAATTCAAATGCCAAAGCAATACTTTCTAGTAACTCTGGCGGCAAAACAAGAATGTACAAGTAAACATATCTTAGTCTCTATTAAATTAGCTTGTCAAATGTGCAGGACGAAATGTTATGTTGTTAACATGCAATTTTAGTTAATAGGAATGCTCAGTGGTATATTTAAATTAACAACACTATACAAATTTAAATATTAGTATATTAGCTTGTAATGAAGAAACGTTAAGCATTTTATCTACCTGTAAATGGGAATACCAATACAGGATACTTTACATAACTTACTTTGTTTAAAAAGAAAGTTTAATTTATTAGGTTATGGATGGAGAAGGAAACCAATGAAATTTAAGTAATTTTTTCATCAGTTTTCTTCACTTTGCTGTAAAGCACTTTAATATACATATATACATATATAAATGTTCAAATATCATTAAATATGATGTTAAGCTATGCATTTATGTTTTTTTTTTTTTTTGTTTTTTTTTTTGCATAACCTTTTTTATCGCTGACATCAGTTTTCTTCACTTTGCTGTAAAGCACTTTAATATACATATATACATATATAAATGTTCAAATATCATTAAATATGATGTTAAGCTATGCATTTATGTATTTTTTTTTTTTGTTCTTTTTTTTGCATACACTTTTGTATCGCTGATCCTGCTGTTTCTTAATTTGGTAGAATATAGTTGTCGAATTTGGGTCATCTGCAATATCAACTTCACTTTTAAATACAAAAGAATCCATTCCACTAATCAGACCCTGTGTACATGATGTAAGACTTTCACTTTGATTGAATTCATGCAGAGTTATCTTTTGAGCAAAAGTAAAAGCTGCGAGAAGAAAAGAAACACATATATTTGTGAATATAAAAAAATCTACATATAATAAAAAGCATAAAATCCCTTGTTTTCATTAAAAAAAACGAACAAACGAACAAGTCCTTTCAATCTGAAAATATGTTTAAGTACAGCAAATTTCATAAAACAATTATATGAAAAAAAATTAATAACAATATATACTTACAGACAGTAATAATGCAAATCAACAAAATCGAAGGTATTAGGAGTTGTTTCATCCTTTTTTTTTCATTAAAAACAGTCAAAATATCTGTCATTTTAAATGGAAAAAATAAATTGATTTAAAAAAATATTCAATTTACTTTTAAAACATTTAATTCATTTTATAAATTTTTAATACATTAAATATTTTCAGGATTAATCCTGACATGTTTTTAAATACGTATTCATTCGTTTAATTTCAACATTTTTAATTTTTTTAAAAGTATTTTTAAAAAAAACGTTTACACAGGATAAATACAAGAGACTTAGAATTTTTAAAGGTATATTTCTCATATCCTGTTCTCACAGTCCAGTTTAAATTTTCTTTGTCTTTTTTCCAATCAAGTGAAATGTATGTGTATTAAAATTTTACACTATTATTTTTATTAAATTTGACAAAAAATGTGTGAGTTAAAATTAAAAGTAAATAATACTTTTTAATTTTTTTTATTTCGACAAGCTTTTAATATTTAAAGATACATTTCTCTACAAATATTAAGTATTCTAATAAACTAAATTTAATCATTTGCTACTTTTATTAATTACATGTAAGTTTCTGACGTCAGTCGCAATTCTTTTCTTAAGCTGTAACACATTAAAACCGTAATAACGGTTTTATCCAAAATAAAATGTCTTACTGGCTTGTAATTTTAGTAAAATCCGATTTTATTTTACACAGAGTGTGAATGGTTATACTTGAATTGTTCCTTAAAATGTATAAATAGCATTGACGCTAGTCATATCTTTTGTTATTGTATATTATTGCATATTACATTGATCCGACTTTTGTTTCTTTCATTATTAATTGAGTATTAATTTAGAAGTCATCTATATGAACGAATTATTACTTTTCAACGTTTAAAACAGTTTTGTCTCGTTTAATTTGCGGCCAAAAAAAATATTGTATTTTACCTTGCTCGAATTTTATTTTTTTATAAAGTTTTTTTAAAGTTCACATGAAGCATTGGCTAAACAGAGATTATTGGAGTGAAAAGTTTAAGTGGGAAAGAATCAGCTAAGTTGTTTTAAGTGTTTTCATGCACAACACAGAATAAAGCAAGAAGCCTCATTAAAAAGAAATCAACACTTGTCGACATTTACAGATACTTTATTAAAAGAAGTGACCAGTGGGTTTCATTTTAATCGGAAATTCAAAAGAGATCTACAGCAGCTTGGACTCCAAGCCTGGAAAAGAAACGCTTTGGTTAGGTCTGAGCGGAAAGAAATGGAGAACAGGGCCAAAGCTCTAGCTGTAGCTACAGAGGGGTGGGTGGAATCAATTGGCGATCCCTGTTGGTTGAGACTCAATTGCCTTTTAATCACAAATCAGACAAGTTAAGGCTAACTCTAAAATCAAACCTGTAGATGGAGTCCCGTAGGCGCTATTTAATTGAAACAGCTCGATAAAAATCTTAACATTGAGATTATCATCCTACTTGTGTTATAGAATTTACACAAACCAATGGTAATAGTTTAAATGTGTGTTGTATTAATAATAATCTGGTAAAAACAGATACAATTTTGACACTTGAATGAAAGCGTCCCCTGATTTTGGAGCTAAGCGATTCTACCACTGCCCCACTTTACTACTAGGTAACTTCTGAAAACATGAGTTTATAAAATCCTGCAAAAAGAAATTTGCCCTGTTAAAACGTTCTTAAAGGGAATTGGAAACCATTTATAATTTGAAAATGTAGACAATCTTAGTAGTATATTAACTATGGAAAGTTTATAGGCCTACTTTATATTTTTATTCATCGCATAATTTGAGAAGTATTTAAATGTACTATAAATAATTATGTATTCGAATAAATACATGTTTACTGTTTATGACCTTCATTAACACTCCAGTAAAGGAAGTAAAACATTGACGATGAGTAATGAACAATTAAGGAATTCCTCATTTGTCAGAGTCATACAATCATTAACTTAGTGCAAAAAGAAAATTAACAGCAAGTTTCATAAACGGGTTTTTATATGTTACTTTTTATATGTTACTAAAGGCAGCTATGACTGCGCCTTTTATGTAGTATATTCTTTTTTAAATACATATAATACAGTCGATTATAAAATTATTTTTTTTATGTTTTATATTCTGTTTTAAATACATATAATACAGTCGATTATAAAATTAATGAAGATAAATTTAATGTATAAACTTGAAAACTGCAAGTATAAAACATGTTTCTATTGTTTTTCTCATTTGGTAAGTAGAACGTATATAAAAATAGATATCCATTTAAGATTTTGTGTGGTATTGTGTCCTAAACAAAATGAAATATAATAAATATGTTGTTTTATGAAAACATGAAGGAAAAGGCAATATTGAAATATAGTTATATGTAATAAAATAATGTTATTACATTAAAATGTTGTTTTTTAAAGTTTTATACGATTATTTGTTGTTTAAATATTCTTATTAAGAAATGTATTTAGTGTTAACAACATAATACTAATAAAATATTTGAGTGGTAAGTGAATAGCAGCTCTGGAGCCACATGCGGCTCTTCACCAACCTGAGTGCCGCACGGCCATTCATCCTCAAATCGGTTTGACTAAGAAAAACAATGATGCTTGACGGATTCTTGAAAAGAAATGCGTCTTAAAAAATGTGTGTAATCGTCCTGCTGCTGATTTTCGTCTCCTGTAACATATGAGCTCGCCGACCACTGACCCATATAATAATATCATTTGACTTCTGTCAATGGTGCATAGTGTTAACTTGACTTACGATTAAACACATGTCTAAATAATATCCCTTAACTAATTTCCTTATGAGGCTTAATACGGAGCTGTAAAAGTTATTTTATGGATAAGGATGACTCTTAGCCGAAATGTTCTTATTGATAATGTCCTTCTAATTCAAGGTTTTTCATAACTTGTTCTTTTATTTCCTTTATGGAAATACCAGTTTGATATACTTAAAAGCACTTTATGTGAAGTGAACTGATGTTGCCTGAATTAAATTATCGAATTACATGATGGGATATTCAAAAAAATCATGTTATTAACATAATAACGTTAACAAGGCCGCTTTTTATATATAATGCCTTATAAGTAAATAAGCTGGAGCTCCAGCCATAAGGCATCGCAACACTTTAAAGCCATCTACCTTTATTATACAGGTTTTATCCTGCAGAAAAATTAAAAACCGGCTATTTAAAATGTTAAAAGGGTATTTGAAATGTTGAAAATGGACCCCATAAAAAAGGACCTTTCAGCCTAAAAGATTTTGACAGCAAAGTAACACATAAAATCTATTAATTTGTTGTTAAGTTATGTAGTTGACAGGAAATACTAGACAATTTAACAGTAAAATATTTGAAATAAATAAATACAATAAAATAAGATAAGATAAGAGTGAAATTAAAAATTACAATTAAACAGCGAGGACTGTTTTAATAAGGTTAGCAATCATGTTAGATATAAGGAAAGGAGGGAATTATCATAGAAGCAACATGTATTCTTGATTCACTTAAATATAATTAAGTAACTAGGCAACACGAGGAGAGGGAGAGAATGTTTTTCTTTATATACTAGCTAATATAACTGGCGTCTCTCGAGTTTCATTCAAAAACAAATAGCATTTATACAGCTTTTTACGCAACATTGACATTAACCGGCCTTTAGATAAAAACATATCTGTAAAGGATGAAAATTAAAATTTTGAATTTTCTTCTTTAAAAACACACGTTTAAAATAAGATCCAAAAGGGATCGTGATTTTAAAGGGGAAATGAGATCCCCAGGAAATCAATTCCCTTTTGTGAAATAATGTCAAAATATGCTATCCTAAAGATATCCGGATACAGGTTGGACTCTGATCGAGGTGGGATATGTATTCATAAGGCATCCCAATCATAATTGATGTTGATAGTATCCAGTTTCCACATAATACCCTACGTTCTTATGGATTCTCTTTCCAGTTGGAACTCGTTTCCAGAAAGATCTCTTTCCCTGTGGAATCCCGCTAACCTTAGAATCCCTTTGAAAGTTGAATCTCGAACACGTTGGGTTCCAGAATTTCCCCCGACCTTCCAAATGGAGCCCGATCACCATGGGATCCCATTTCCAAGTTTAATTCCATTTCCCGGTGAGATGTCTTTCCTGGTTGGATCCAGATCCCGATGTGATCTGATTTCCTAATGGCACCAAATATCCCGATAAGCTCTCGATCCCGTTTGGATACCATTCTTATAGGATTTCGACACTATTGGATAACTTTATACAGTTGGATCCAGTTTCCCGATTTGATCCTTTACTCATTAGGATTGAGTTATCCATAGGATGTCTGTCCCCAATATGATCGCGTTTCTTGTTAATGCAGCTGCCCATGAGATCGAATTCACGTTTGGATATATTCTCTGTTTTTTTATGCTGTTACCAGTACGGATCACATTTTCTCATTTAGATCCCAATCCCTTTTTAGGATCCTGTTCCTCGTTGGGATCCAGTTCCACGGTTATAGACATTTCTATATATGAAAAATAAATATTTATTTAGCGCCCAATAAAGAAAGATTCAAACATTACCTTGAACTTTTATGAATAGTTTACAGAAAAGAAATCTTAAAATCTTAACATCAGATAGCTCCATAACTATAGGAAATACAATGAATAAAAAGATCAAAAGAAAAAGGGAATGGTAATATTGCATAGTATGCATCTCAAATAATGAACGCATAATTATGTTATGTTAACATTTCAATGCAATAATCTCTACTGTTTTATACAAATATTCAAACCCGTACAGACAAGTGAGTTTAAAGTATTTTGCAGATATGCATGTGTTGGCTATTGTTTTATTAAATATCTATTTACATTGTCTTAAAATCTGATTATTTTAAATAACACATTTTCTTTTCTTTCTTTTTTTTTTGCTCTTTTAAGCATTTACTTTAGGTCAACAAATTATTTTATATCCGTTTAATTATGAAGGCAATATTACCAAGTGTCCAAAAGGCCCCATAAACAAAGTAGGCATGGTTTTTTTTAAGAGTATAGTTGATTACTCTAAGGATTCAAACATGCAGACTGTTTATTTTCAAACGAAAAAAACAAGTGACAACAATTACAAACGTGTAAGTATTGCTGTATTTATTTTAATTTCTTATACATGGAGATGTTTATGTTTAATTTCCAATTATAGTTTTTGTTCATTTTGAATTCTATTTTAGGAAAATTTTAATACAGCAAAATCTATTCATATTGAAAACAAAACATATGTCAATGCTTTGGCATATACATTAACATTTATTTATGCAACGAAGAATTAGGAAA